AAGGCATCAGTTTAATGTAGCGCCGCATCCAGTGTAGACAGCGTCACTGATTATAATGGGTTCTACTGTATTTTGCCGCTCTCGTCCGGTGTAGACACGGTGTTTAATGTCGTTGGTGAGGAGGAAAGCCTGTGTGTGTCCTATGCCTTAGTGGACAGCAAGAAACCCACAAAAAAAATAACAGAGAGAATAATAATAACAGTTATTCTCTCTATGCTATTTTTCAATGTTTCAAGTGATGCAGGTGTTTTTTTTTTGTTTCCCTGTAGGTTTTTTTTTATTAAAAAAGCATTAATTTTTCATAATGTTTAATGAAATTATTTGGAAGTCTGAGGTGGAATGAGGATTCGGGAAAGGGGGGCAGATTTTTTTTTATAGGTTTAAAGGGGGGTGCGACCACAAAAATTTGAGAACCACTGGTCTAAAGTTAACAGACAGTGTTTAGTGCAGTCCACATGTTTACATATGTTTATTACAGTGACTTTGAATTACCTAAAGTAGTGTGCTAAAGCAACAGATTTGTTTTTATATTTCTGCAATCTACTTTAGTTTGTGTGATTTGTTACTGACTTTCATATTAATGTTTACACCAGGCTTATTTAAACATAATTATTACATGCTTACAAGGTTGGAAGTTCAACAAATCAGTCAATATACTGTGATTGTAGTTGTTAAATAAAAATGTAATTCATATCAATTCATGCATCACCTAATTTCATCGTAACATATAGGCCTGGCCTACAGAAAAGAACATTTATGTTTAATCTATCTATAATAGTGTGTTAGTCATACTATACAATGATTTACAGCTTGTCTTGATCTAAATGTGTTGAGGATTTCTTTGCTGTAAAATAAAAATTCCACATTATTGTTTGAGTTAATAAGCCCAATGTATCATATATTCTGGATCATATCTTCAAATCATATATTTTACAGAAATGTTATACTTGAGAGCAGGCTGTGTATCTCCACTCTTGAATTGTTCTTGACAAACCATAGACCCGTCACTCTTCATAGACACACAGCTGGACTCTGCTTCTGTTCTCTTCTGATGAACTGAGCTAAACAGAGAGAGATTAAATTTGATCCTTTAAATTACTGTATGCAAATTATTGTATATAAAGAGCACTTTGTAATCAGTTCATACACTGTTCATACAAAAATAGTGAACTGAACTGTGATAATATATGATGATAATGTAAAATGTCATGTTATAATCATATTTTTATACAAACGTTATACCTGAGATCAGGCTGTGTATCTCCACTGTTAAACATTATTGGTGCACGCATAGACCTGTCACTCTTCATAGACACACAGCTGGACTCTGCTTCTGATCTCTTCTGATGAACTGAGCTAAACAGAGAGAGATTAAATTTGATCCTTTAAATTACTGTATGCAAATTATTGTATATAAAGAGCACTTTGTAATCAGTTCATACACTGTTCATACAAAAATAGTGAACTGAACTGTGATAATATATGATGATAATGTAAAATGTCATGTTATAATCATATTTTTATACAAACGTTATACCTGAGATCAGGCTGTGTATCTCCACTGTTAAACATTATTGGTGCACGCATAGACCTGTCACTCTTCATAGACACACAGCTGGACTCTGCTTCTGATCTCTTCTGATGAACTGAGCTAAAACAGAACAGATTTAACCCTTTATTATGAGAATCATCTTAATATAATAAAATAATTATCTTAATATACTTTAAAAGGTATTTATAAAATAAAAACACTTTTGTAGCCTTTATGGTCTTATTGTTTTCAATGAAAATTATAAAAACCATACACAAAATAAACTTTTTTATATAACATGAAAGGTTATTTAATGTGTTCCTCAAAGTACCTGTGTGCTGGAAAAAAACAGTCATCTCGAGGTGTTTGTGGTTCACTCATGATGGATCTGAACAGTTTGATCTCCACCGCTGACAAACAAGTGAAGAGACAAACAATCACAAAAACTACAGTAATTAAACACCCTTATATTGCTGTAAATCGTTTTATTAAACATTTAAACATATTCTGTTTTGTAAATAACTGATTCTGTCTGTTTAAAATACCTAAACATCACCTCTGATCATTTACAGTCACTTTTATACCATTCTCTTCACAAGGACACTAAATGATCTTTAGCAAATGTGATGTGACATTACAGTCATTGTCTCATATTTTCTTGTACCGTTAAAGTGTGAGATGGGAATATGCATATGTAAATTGTATTCAAAGGAGGTTATGCATAGTAAACTAGGTGTGTAAGCTCCATATCTAGTTATTTCAGGGAGGAGACGGGTGTGGATGAATGTAAACACAATCTTCTGCAGGATTTATTTGTGCCTATGCAAAATTTATATATATATATATATACATACATGCATTCAGTATATAAGTATTTAATGCTTACTTACATTAATAAGGAAGTCGCTTTGTGCTCCACACCTGAAGACTTGCTTTGATCAAAATGTTCGGCTACTAGACAAGTTTTCCAAATGTCTTTGGTCTCTCATTATCTACAAGTCAATTCACACATGAGCAAATAAAAAAAGAGAGTTTCAAAATGAAAAACAAAAACAATAATAAATCTTACAAGCAGGTGTAAACGTTGCCTGTAAAACAATCTGCATTCACTTTCATTTTGTCAGAAAGGTTGCCAAACCTGTTCGGAGAGAAAAAACACCTCATCATTTACAGTAGTTTTTAAAGTTTGGTCGTAAGAGTGACAAGAGACTGATTTGAGCAAATATATGGTAGCTTATAATAACAATCAGTTCAGTTATTTTAAAGTAATTTAAAAGTGTCTTGTTAATGTTTAACTAATCATTTCCTAAACATTAATATACAATTGTAGATGATTAATAAGTGATGTGTTAACATGCCACAAGTGTGTTTAAGTCATCCAAAAATGTTTTTGTAAATCATGAAATTATCATTTAATTGTAAGTCATTATTTGATGTAAATTCCTAATTTTCACAAATTTGTTGCTCTAACAGGCATAACATTATGTTGCTGTAATATTTCATTTTGAAACTTTTCAATGTTGAAACTGATGAAAAACTATTTGTGAACAACATCAGCAGAACAGACTTATGGATTCACAAAAGTGTGAAGGAGGAATGATACAATGTGTGAAAATCTCACTGCAAATTCATACTAATTCATACAAATTAACCAAGTAGCTAAATCATATGAGCTGGGTCGTATGAAATCATACAATTTGTTAAGTAAGGGATAATCAGGGTTCCCACGATGATTAATAAGTGATGTGTTAACATGCCACAAGTGTGTTTAAGTCATCCAAAAATGTTTTTGTAAATCATGAAATTATCATTTAATTGTAAGTCATTATTTGATGTAAATTCCTAATTTTCACAAATTTGTTGCTCTAACAGGCATAACATTATGTTGCTGTAATATTTCATTTTGAAACTTTTCAATGTTGAAACTGATGAAAAACTATTTGTGAACAACATCAGCAGAACAGACTTATGGATTCACAAAAGTGTGAAGGAGGAATGATACAATGTGTGAAAATCTCACTGCAAATTCATACTAATTCATACAAATTAACCAAGTAGCTAAATCATATGAGCTGGGTCGTATGAAATCATACAATTTGTTAAGTAAGGGATAATCAGGGTTCCCACTCTTTCATGAACACCAGATTCAAGGACTTTTTAAAGCACCATTTATTTAATATCAAGCACCTATCAAATTCACACCCCAGCATATGTAATGTCATGAAAGACTTTACAGTACTTAACATTTCACTTACACTTAACATTTACATTAAACAGTTCAGAGTAATAATGTTTTTAATGTGTAGGTTTCATAAATTTAGACCATTTTGAGCATATGTTCAACGGAATTTAATGGAATCCATTGAAGTCAGTTGTAATGACGATTCAGTGACGTTGGGATCCATGAGCAGCTTTATTAACAATTAGACAGGCAAAGTTCAGTCAACAGCATACAGGGGTAACGTAGGCAAGGCAGAATCATAACCAGAGTCCATGCAAAGGGGTCGAGGCCGGCGGCAGACAGAGGAGAGAGTAAATCCAAACACAGAGCAAGATCAAAGAGGCGGGCAGCGAACAATCAGACAGGTCTAAACAATCCAGGTAGGCAACAGGTAATCAAACAAGGTATGAACGCTCAGTAATGTCAGCAGTAGCAAAACAAGACTTCGCAAAGAGGGTAAGGTAGGCACTGCCTAAATAGTCATGGTAATGATCAGCACCTGTGCATGTAATCAATGTCAGGCATGGGGTGATGGGAAATGAAGTCCTAAGGAACAGTTAGTACTCCGGTGAGGGTTCCCTCTGGTTGGATTTGAACTAAGAAGCTCTGATGCCTTTGCCGCGGATGCAACCACTGGCCCACAGCAGTACAACTTTGTATTAGTGATAAACAGTAAGATCTGACAATAAAATAAAATCAATGTAAAAGCAAAATCGATTTCTGTACATTGTTACTTTTTCTGCAATCATTATTGCACGTATTTCATATTAACACCTTATTGGCAGAGGCCATTTACATTAGCTCCGCCCACCAAAGTCTGGTTGGCGTAGACAACATTACAAAAATACAACAAATTAAAGTCCCAGCTGGAGTATAGGCCACGAATCAATCGATGGCAGCCTATTAAAATGAAGGAAATATTTAACAATGGAAATAGAGTGACATTTAAAATTATAAAGGGAAATTCCTACAAATGCATATGCAGTGAGGTCAAGCTGCAAAGATCAATGTCCATGCCTTTTCATCACATGTAGCCTATTCGGTGAACCCTAACAGTAATTTTAAACACTAATATGGAGTGTGCAGTGCTACAAACAGTAAGCAAATAGCTGTTTTAAGGGCATACACTAATTTAACACTTAAATGTATTTCTTCCTGCAAAATATGTTCCATGTGCTCTTTAACAGCCTGACATAAAAAATAAAGAAATAATACTAAAAATAAAGAAATAACTCAATTACAATTTTATTGCACCTTGACCAAATACAACAAAACAGAAAATCACTTTTGTATTCTTAATCACATTTCATTGTCAAGGGCACTTGACATCAGGTCAAGTATTTATCTTAACATCAAAACAAATGTACATTCCATTGCATTTACAATCTAGGAGGCATAACTACTCTTATTCATTTTTGTCCATTTACTGCTACATATTCCGGTCCACCATTGTGCAGTGAACAATGTTATAAAATATGAAATTATACAAAATAATAAAATACACAATTACGAAGACTAAACTCATTAAATTATGATAGCCAGGGTGTTGCTGTAAACAAGTCAACCAAGCTATTTATAACTATATAGCAAGCTTTTAAAATAAAACGATGGAAATAAATAACATTTCCAGCAAAAGGCATGCTTCAGGACACAAAGGTGTACATTAAAAATAATTAATTAAATTAATTAAAAAAATAAATAATAATAATGATAATAAAATATTACCCTGTCGGGGCTGGATACTAATAATACAGAACATGTCCTGGGGGAATAAGACAGATTTTTAAAGGAACAAAGGCATGCGTTACAGTACAAAAAGTTTATCCTGTACTGCGGAGACAAATGTCACTTTTCTGAATGGCTGCATCTGTGGGGACACAAACAGTTATAATTAAAACACAAACCAAAAGAAAAGCAGAAACATAAATGAGCATTTACAAAATTCTAATTTGAGGCCACACACTTATCACATGTATTTTAGTTACTCATAAAAACATTGGTGTACTTTATCAGTGATGATTGATAAACAAGCAATAAAGCCAACCGCTACTATGTATATGAGACAGCATAGAGCTCCCTGCTCAAATTAAAAGACTATACCTGTTAGTCTCCCCAGGCAAATGCAGCAATTTTTGATGCGAGACTCAATACTTTGGGGTTGACAGAGTACACTCGCTTTTTCTCTCTCTTTTGCACCTTGGTACCTTTATGTGGATTTATCCCGAAGATGCACCTTTTAAAAAACCAACAGCAATAATAGTAACAACCTTAATTTCTGCACATTTCTTAACCTAGTGAATGCAGCCTATGTTACCTTTGCAAGAATTCTAGTGTGGCCCCCAGTTCTACAGGGTAACTGATGTTCAATATGTAGTAGAGGGAAAACATCAGAGACAGTGCCTCAGTAAAACTCAAGAGATGGTCATTCACAATTATCTGGTCTACCGCTACCATGTATACACTGGCTGTCAGTGGGTTCTCTCCTTTGAACAAACAAAAACCAGAAAGCAATAAAATGTACAGAATGAGAATTCTGCAAATTTCATATCAAGTCAACCACAATCAGTAATTTTGTGGATTAAATATTAAGTGATCATATTAAATGATACTAACCACTCACTACTATACATGGAGTAGGTGGAAGCTGCTCTGGGCATACTGTATATCATTTGGAACACAAGTGTCTTCTACCATCACAAGGTGGTCTTGGTCATTTTTGAAATGGGCAAGCAGCAACATCACTGCCCCACAAACATGATCCCCTCCTGTCCTAATCTTGGTGAGGATTCTCCTTGCTCTGCTTGCTCTTTCTGTGCACTGAAACTGAAAGTACTCTGATATTCTTCTGAATTTACTGGTAGTGGCTTCTTCAAAGCTGTCGTTCACGTCAGTGTCAGTGAGCTCTTTAAAGTGTGCTTTCATTCCTGCTGCCTGGAAAAGATATGGCCACTCATCAAGTAACTCTTTGGTTTCCTTTCCAGCAGTGGTGTAAAGTATTTGAGTAAATGTACTTCGTTACTGTACTTAAGTACTTTTTTGGCTACTTTGTACTTGTACTGAGTATCAAAAATATAAGCAACTTTTACTCTCTACTCAACTACATTATTGATTGAATATATGTACTCTTTACTCCACTACATTTGACAAGCTGTAGATTGTCTTTACATTGCTTTCCTTATTTTTAAACATTTCAAGCAATTTCTCTTTTTTTTCCCTGTTGCAATTCTGGCGTTTCTCCAACTGGCAACTGGGGTTCTGAATTTATACAACCATACTCCAATTTCCGTTTCTTTGACTCTTCTGGCATATAACAAAGTGGTCTAGTGGCTATATAAATAAAGGTGACTTGACTTGACTATAACAAAGTGGTCTAGTGGAAGTTTTTGCTCTTTTTAAATTGTCAATTCGACAGTCTAGTTGTTTAAGGAGAGAGTCATATCCACTTCCTACAATCTGGGAATTAATCTAATCTCTAAAGGACTTTGGGTATGCAATAATACTTTTTTTGGGCTATTTGTGATGCATGTTTTTTTGTTGGACATTTACTGACTTCCAGGATTTCAGAAGCAACAATGCAAACCAACTGTCTCCTCTCAGAGCAACTCGGCCTTTCCCCACTTTTAATCTTCCTCATAAAACTTGTTGGCATTTTTTCCCATGGAATAACAAAATCATAATGCCAGTCATGGTCAGAAACCAATGTTTCAGAGCTAGTGTCACCTAAAAGATAAAGCAATGTCCACATGTTAGAGAATGAACAATTCCACTTTTCATGCAGCATTCAGTTCTCAATATTCCCATTTTCTTTGCAAATTACTTTACAGTAAATACAGCAATTACAGTAACACTCAAAGCTACTACTTTCCCACTTCCTAAGAAGTGCTACACAAATTTCTGCTTCTTCTAAAGACATTATATACACTGCTGAGCCACACTATATACACTTATGACCACGCCACGCTTTCCCATCGGAGCAACTACCTTAATTTTTGTGCCAGCTCGGGATTAAATGCTGAGTTTTCGTCTCCACTGGTAGGTAATATCTTGATTAACTTAATAATGATACATGTAAGCCTTGATTCGTGTCGCGTTTTTCTTATAGCAATGTTCAAATCAAAGATGGCGGCGGCATTTTTAATTTTTAAATTGTCTCCAAATTCATAACGAGATCAGGGGCACGTTGTCTACATTTATCTGTAGCAACCCAAATTTAGCTAACCCTCTCATTGTGTAAACCTGTTTCCTTTACAAAAAAGAAACACATTTCTCAAGGACACGTGGAGTAGTCTAATGCCCGAAAATTGGTCAATAAATGGAAAGAAGAAGGACACCATGAAAAATGGTATGCATGTTTAGGAATTTACTGACTTATCTCCCGAATACCCGGATGTCAAGGCTTTGAGAGTCCCGTTCTATGGTCCGGT